AGAAGGGGTTCGAGGCTGGTTAGCAGAATTTTTTTGCTTACCCCTTAAGTCTTTGCCTAGGAGGCCTTCTACAAGACAGTGGCAGGATGCAGGGGATGTTTAGCTGGATGCAGTTAACATCTGTCCAAGATGAGTGTTTTTAGCGAGACACCATCTCTAGCCTTTACTCAACCAAGAGCCCCAAGGCAGGGGAATTTTTAGTCGGAGTTTATTTCTCCTAGCCTTTGCATAAGAAGAGCACACTCTGCAAGGTAGCAGGGCTTGTGGCAGGTGGTACTGGGTTACGTGATACTAGTAGCAAGATTGATCGCGATTATCCTGACCTGACCTGGAGTAGTTAAAAGGCGTTACTTCCCGCAACAGCACTTTGAGAAAACCAGGCATGACATTTTGGAAGTGCATTAGGAAAAACACTGCATCTAACAAAATACAGGAGTCCAAGGTGAGTGTACGTTTTGTAGTTGGAGTAAGTAGTTAGTTACTGAGCTCACGCTGCATTAGAGTATAAACAGAACACAAACAAACATAAATCAACTTACGGGTGAGTCAACACCACGCTAGAGGTTCAGACAGAACACAAACATACATAAAAAACATAAAGTAACTTACGGGTGAGCGAACACCGCGCCAGAGGTTCAGACAGAACACAAACATACATATAACGTAGATTACAGGTGAGCTAATACAGTAACTAAATCACCTCCAACTATATGGAAAAAAAAAAATTGCTATAGGCATGACTGATATAAGATTGAACTGATGACAGGAAGAACACTCCTTCCAGCCTTAGCCTGAAAAAACTTAACACATACATATATATATATATATATATATATATATATATATATATATATATATATATATATATATATATATATATATATATATATATATATATACATACATATATATATATATATATATATATATATATATATATATATATATATATATATATATATATATATATATATATGTATGTGTGTATATATATATATATATATAAATATATATATATATATATATATACATATATATATACATATATATATATATATATATATATATATATATATATATATATATATATATATATATATATATATATATATATATATATATATATATAATATATATATATATATATATATATATATATATATATATATATATATATATATATATATATATATATATATATATATATATATATATATATATATATATATATATATATGTGTATATATATGTATATATATATATATATTTATATATATATATATATATATATACACATACACATATATATATATATATATATATATATATATATATATATATATATATATATATATATATATATATATATATATATACATGCATATATTTTATTGAGAAGCTCATATCTAAGTTTTACTTTGAAACTTTGTTTATATATAAATATATAATAAATATATAAACCAACAAATGATTGTTTCGCCCAATATCAGGGCTCATCAGCATGTCTAGGAACATATTTATTCCGGACATGAACAATCAGAGAAAGAAAAATTAGGAACTGAAAAGAGAAAGACAAAAATATAAATGGATTTATATACATAGTGATATAAAAAGTTATATATATTTTTATATAACAAGATTGAAAAAAATAAGACATACCAAGTTAAGCTTTAACAACAAGAAAGAAGATCTTTTTTGATGAAGTAAAAAGAAAGCTAATGGTTTTAATAACTACAGCAAAAAACTGATCTAAATGGCACAAAAACTTTTGAATATTATTAGGTTGATTGAGAGATAATTTAATGAAAATAGTTTTTTTAATTTTTTATTTTGTCGCTAGAAAATGATATATAAAGATTGTCAAAAAGAGATGGTTAATGTTTGCCTGAACTATGATCATTAATCATATAGCTAATTCCAAACAAAAGTATGGGGTTACATTGAACCCGTCCTGTTAAAGACTCCATTGAAGTCTTAGCCTTTCCAGGGGTTTCCATGCCTATTTGTTAGCTGTTATATGAAGAGAGGTGATAATAGACAATAATTTCAAAAGTTGTTGGCGTGTTATAGAATAAACAGTATAGACACTAATCATTGAAATCAAGTCGTCTATTTTTTATAGAAAATCTTTTGATAACATTATCAATACAAGGAACAATTTCTTGATGGATATACATTAATGCCAAACCGTTTAGTTGATCTTCTGACATTGTTGTTCTCATATAGTCTTTTAACCGACGCATAACAGAAAAACTTTTCTCACACTCACATGAAGTAACAGGAAGTGTCCCAAGTATCCTTAAAACTATCTTAATATTTTCAAATCCAGGAAATGATATCGATTTAAGAGTTAAAGATATATTGTCAGGACTATCCCAAAGAAACTTTCCAAGTATTTTTCCCAAAGAACTAGTTCCCCATTCAAGGCACTGATATTAAGGAAATCATCTATATAAAAACCACAGAATGTTTCAAACTGCTTCTTCCAACACAATTGGGTTTTGGGTCTTTTAAGAAAAGAAATGATATTAAATAGAATTATTGATAACCCTTTATATGCAGCTAAAATTTCTGATTTAAATCTTGTAGATATAGATGTAGATACATGATTTATAAGAGGGATAGTAATAGCTCTTTTGAAGTAATCTGAAACAGACTCTGATGGAACATTAGAACGATTTTTTTGAATAGAACAGGTTCTTGGTTTTAAAACAAAAATTTCAGCTTTACTTGAAAGCAAACATGCTGCTTCATAGCAGTTATTATGAAAACTATCTATATCGTTTCTGATGAAAATAAATGTATTTTTAAGAGCTGTAATAAGGTGCAAACCGTCTAAGATATCAATAGTTTTTGATTGCAGTAACCAAGTAACAAGTAAAGTATAATCAAAAACACGTGTTGTCACAACTAAAGTAATTACGAATTGAAAAGTGCCAATGGAATTTAAAAAAGTAGAAGATTTGTTTTGTGTGTCTTTATTAACAGAACTCTCAGGGTAAGCCATGATACATAAAGCATGGAAAATAGATAAATAATGCTCAAGAAAAGTGTTTAAACTATCTATACGCTCAATCTATCTAGTTCTACAGATATCTTTTAATTTTTTATGGGTTTGACGTTCTCGCTCTAAAATGCTAGCTTCTAAAAACTTTTGTCTATTTTCTGAATAATTAAAAAAATAAGAAAGTTTGCGAATTTTATTAAAAACCTCTGAAACTAATTGGACATTACACGATTCACAAACTGATAAGTTCAGTCAATGGCTATGACAATGTGTATACAAAGCTTTTGAATTTATATTGAGAACCTGAGCAGAAAGACCATTTATATACCCAGAGACAGAACTGGCTCCATCATATCCCTGACCCCTACAGTTTTTTATATCTAGATTTAAGTTGCTTACACAATTTAAAAGAACATTAAACAAATCTTTTCCTTTAACTCCTTCACTAAAATGAATAAATTGAATATTGCTCTTTAGTAGATGAGTCAGAGGCTTCATCTGCAACTATTGAAAAAAAAAAACATTTTTGCGAACTTCAGATAGTATAGATTCACTAATTTCTTCACTACAGCATATAATAATTTCATTTTTTGAAGTCTTTGAAATGTAGGAGGCATTCTTTGAACAGTTATTAAGATGAGAGCCTAAAACATCATTTCCATTGCGTACAGCAAAATTTAAAAGTTTATTAAGACAACCAGTTCCACATTTCGAATACTCTCCAGCCTCTGGAAGATATTGTGAATCATCTCTGTGGCCTCTCAAAGGTGTATTGGTTTGACCGCAAAAAATTATAGCATCAACAATAGGACGAAGTATTTGGCAATTTTTTAATATTTTTTTCTTTTACATTAGTATCAATGATGACATTTATTGGTTGACTTATGCCTAAGGAATGACTCAAAAAAAATATTAAAAACAGGCATAGTAAATGCATGTAAACTATTTTTAGTTGACTCATGATTTGAAAATGATCTAATAGCATCAGACCATTTATTGAATGGCTCCAAATACAAATGTTTTAACTTACGTGATCTTAGTTTGAATTTATTTCCAAATAATACACAAGATAAACAAAATGCCCCATCAGTACTTTTAGAATATCTCAGCCAAAAAAACTCTTTCAACCAAAGATATCTAAACTGACGGCCAGAATTTTTGGGAAAATGTAATCTTCATTGGGAATAAACATATTTTTAGTTAATAAAAAAATTTCATGGTCAGATAAAAATTCAACTTTTTGTCTAAAGAAAGCAACATCATTTTGCTCAAAAGACTGGAGAGCATTTAGTACTTCTTTAGGTGGTAAAATAATGTTCGAAGGGCGTTCGATATTATTATTATTATAAAAGTTAGGTACTTTCCTGATACTTGAAGATTTTGTAAAAAAAGATTTTGATAGAACACTGTCCTTAGCTGTTTTTGAGTGAGAAAAAATATCTTTATTTAATGTTAATGATTGAAAAGATGTTGTGAATTGAGAAGAAAACACTGCTAGTTGAGAAGAAAAACTATTTGATTTTAGAATACAAGATGTATTTTGTAAGACTGCACTAGTAGGTTCTAAGTCTGGGTTTGTTTTATGAAAGAATGTAAGAATAAAGTAAAGCTTTTTATTTGGATTTTTAGCTTATGTACTAGGTACAATTATAGCAACTTGATCAATGGTGGTCTGTTTTGTATCTAGAAATTTATTAGGTGATAAGACTGGCAGCAATTTTTTTGAAATTGCTGTTTTTGATTTACTGGAACGTTTACGCTTTTTAGGAATAAAAATTAGTGGGACATAGTGATTATGCTAAAATGTACCTGACTGAAAATTCCCATCATAACAAAACAAAATGTAAAATGGGGAACAAAATTTAATGGGAGTACGTGGTGAGATCTCTTCGTTAAAAAATATCTTATACTTTTCAACACCAAAATCTGTGTAACAGGAAACAATATTACAAGAAAGAACCGATGATAAACCTAACAAACATAAAGAACCAGCCTATTTTTCTGTGCTCTCACAGTTTGCAATTGCTTTAGCTTTAATAATATTATTATTTTCGAAGCCAGAATCTAATGCAGAATGAGATACTGACAAACACAACAAACTTTTGAAATTAATAAAATGAGAACTATAATCAGAAAATATTTTTGAAAATAAAGGATGCTTACAGTAATAATCAGCATGTATATAAATTTCAAGGAATGTTAAAACTCTTAACACATCGATCAGTGTATTGTCAGTAACAAAAAATAATGATGCAGAGCTGTACATACAACTTCCAGATGCTTCAGACCTTGAGAAAAAAAAAATTTACTTTATGTTTTTAAGAGCTAAACTTCTTTTATCAATAAATTTATAATTAGGTAAAAAAACTTTGCTTTTTAAACAAATTCATAAATTCATAGTCAAGAATTCAGACAAACCAACAAACGATTTTGACATGTAGGAATTTAATACATACATCATGAACATATTATATTCATACATGTCAAAATCATTTGACGGTGCTGACACTTATTAAATATTGATTAGTCAACGAGATTTTTTTATAGATTAGATTAATACGGTATTAACAATAAATATTTTTACAAAAAAGTATTAAATTTTGAAATAAAATACAAAAAGATGATTATTTTTGAAAAAAAAGTAAATTGACTTACCTTAGAGCAATACAATGCATTTTATTGTCTTTTAAGTAAGAAGGGATACAAACTTCGGCACATATATTTCCTCTTACTGTGCCATCAATAAAACGACTTAAAAAACCTTCGTTACTAACCATTTTGTTATTGTTGTAAATAAATGTATTCAATAAAGTTTCATAAAAAGTATTTAAATTGACAAGATTATCGGTTTTAAATCTTTTAAGTGCATCATCAATCAAGTTGTAAGCCATGCTTATACGTTAAAATTTTAAATACTTTGTTTTTAGAGCGGAGTTCTTTGAGTTCCTTCAGCTGTTTATCGATCTTTGCAACCAATCAAATTACTGCTGCAAATGCTGCAAAGGATAGTTTACACTAAACATGTTTTTTTTAAACGAATCAAATTGCTACTTTTAATAGCGTAAACCAATGAGCTTATCCAATTTTCTCATATCCTGCAAAGTTGAGTTTACATTAGCAAGTTTTATAAAATAATTTTCTCATATCCTGCAAAGTATAGTTTACATTAGCAAGTTTTATAAATAATTTTCTAATACCCTGCAAAGTATATTTTACATTAGCAATTTTTATAAAACACTTTTTTAAACGTCTGCAAAGCATAGTTTTCACTGTAATCTTTTTCTAATTATATTTTCTAACAAAAATATATAGATCAACAATTAACTTTAGGCGGGCGTTAGACGTCATAATACTTATATTTAATTTTGTTTTTTACCCCGTCGCTTGCAGCACTTGACGGGGTTTAAGTTCGCCCCTGACTACTATAGTTCTTCTTCTTATTATTTTACCGTCGTTGTCTTCTTTCTTCCCGGATCTGCGCGCACGTTCTATATGTATTTCTTCGTTTATATTTAGTTTTTCTTTTATTAGCTTTTTCACTTTCTCCTCACTGTTTTTCCACGTTTCTCCTTCAGTTTCCTCGATTCATTCAAACCGAAGGTTGTTACGACGACTTCTGTCCTCTAACTCTGTCATCTTGTCTTTAAGATATTCGTTTTCAAGATTTGTTGCTTTTTGTTTAAAATTATCTTGAAGGGATATTTTATTTTTATTATTGTTTAATGTTTCTTTCATTGTTTCGTATTTGTTGCTTAGGAATTAAATAGTGGAATTTATTGGCTCTAATTCTTTTTTTAAATACTTATTTTCTTCTTTTATTATTGAAAAGTCGTTTTCTAGCTTTTGAAAGCGTTCGTTAAATATTTTAAGTAAAGTGTTTTTGTGCATATCCAATAATTCTTTTACTTGGGATGGTGTAAAATTTTTAGCCATTTTTTTTTAAATATAATATAAATGATTGTTTTGATAATAATCGATATGAAAAAATAATAGTAATCTGATTACTTGCTCAATTTAGCCGCCCCTCTTTTCTCGCCGTAAAACCGTAAAAAAAAAAAAAAAAAAAAAAAAAAAATCTTAATAACTTATTGTTAATTCAGGTTTAATTAAAAATGAAATATAATGTTGTTTATCAATATAGTCATCTCTTGCTTACTAAAAACCAATTATTATATTATTTCTCAATATAATCATGGCTTACTCAATTCAATTTAACTCACTCTCTTTAACACTTCAACTAAAAAGCAAAAGCATACAAAGAAGACGATATAATAGCCGCATTATTTATTATGAAAGAAAATAAAACATCACTGAGAAAAGCTGCATTCAAACATGGCGTTCCGGTCTTAACGCTCAAAGATTACAAAAATAACAACCACAAAGGTTCCATAGCTCAGGTACAACAACGGTACTCTCAAATGAAACGAAAATATTGATGGTGCATTCAATTACTTAGTGACTGGGGTTATGGTTAACCCTAAATGAAATGAAAAATTTGTATGTGGCAACCTTAAACGAAAGATCATTTGCACTTTTTGAAAAATGGCAAGCTTTGTAAAGACTAGTTTTAAGCCTTAATGAAGAGATGATCTAAAGAAATTTCAACACGCAAAACGGATAATTTAGCATCTAAAAGAGCCGCTTTTTGTACGCTAGAAATAATTGATCGACACTTTGAATGCGTTGCCAAGTAATATTAACAGATTAGTATAACTTCTGGGACGCATATTTGGAATTGTGATGAAACAGGGTTATCAAGGCAAAACAACCGTAGTGTGTTGAAAAGGGACAAGACGTGTATTTAAAATTAATAGGCATTTTGCACCACCATTTATTATATACATAGCCAAAAGAAACTTTTGTCCTGACTGGGCAAGAGGTGGTCCAGTTAGCACCAAATAATTAATTTCAAAATCAAGTTAGATGGAACACGATGCGTTTATTGAACAACTGAAAGAAGTACTTATACTTAAAACTGAGCAAATTAGTGGTATTCATATTTTATTATTAGATAGGCAAATTACTCACGTAACTTTATAAGCGGTATTGCTGTCCAAAAAACACAATATAATCTTGATTTGCATGTATATTAAATTTATAATCTTAGTAAGAGTTCATAGAGCTAAGGAATGTATGTTTTATATTCAAAAAGATTTGTTTCAGTCTTATGAATTTTTAGGTAAACTTGAAAATACGTCTTATTTAAGTAATGTTGCACAAGCGAATTGCGCTGTTTTTGGCTTATAAAACACGTTTTTTTACCGTTTTTTAAAGGTGTCGTAAAATGCGAACTTAAACAATAGTTAAAAACCTAAAAAACATCATTTGAACGTTTTTTGAACGTTGTAATTGTATAAATGTTTTTCAATCAACCATAAAACGTTTACAAAACGATTTTTAAACTTCGTATTCTGATTCACTAAGCTTGTATTACTTTTAAATTTTTATTTAAGGTTTTCATTTATTAATGTTGGAAAATTATTTTGATGTTAATTTTAGTTTTGCCTAACTTCTTTTAACCTTCAAAATCAACTGAAATGGAGCATTCAAAACTTTATAAGGATACATCTACACCTACGGGTACACTGTCTTTGATAACTAAAATATTTAATCTGTCATTTTTTATAAAAAACTGTAGCTGCCCAGCAAACATGTTAGCGTTGAAACAACGTTGAAAACAGGTCGCAAAAGATGTTTCGGAAACGTTGACAAAATAATCGATTTTACAAAGATATGTAACGTTGCTAAAGAGTCGTTGATTAAGCGTTGTAGCGTAACGTTAAAAAAAACGTTACTAAAAGACGTTACAAAAATGTAGCAGCTAAACGTTGAATAGGTGTTACTTAAAAAGAATCGCATAAGCGTCGCAATTTAACGTTAAAAAACGTTACTTGAAAAGCGTTACTGTAACGTTGTTAAAGCAGTCGATTTTGCAAGGATTTTTAACGTTGTCAATAAAACGTCGATTTAACGTGACCCATAGACGTCGAGTAAAGGTTGAAATATAACGTTGATTCAACGCTTAAATGCGCTGGAGAAAATATCGTTATTAAATGTAATTAAACTTGGCTATGATATATATTGAATTGGCAAATAAAACTAAATTGTACGTTGAACTCTGTACTTGTAATATTTCTAAAATCGATTTTTAATACAAACAGTAATATATAATGAAGTAATTAAAAATATACAATTTATTTATATAAAATATACAATTTGTAGATATATAGATAAAAATATAAGCATTTTTAAAAAAATTTATGTGTTTGAGTGGATTTACAGGATATCATATTGATAGGCCAGGATATCAATGAGATGCAGAATCTAAATCAAAAAATAAAATTTGTATCATTAGCAGTCTGAAAGCAAATGTTTAAAAAAATGTTCTTGAATTAGAATGAATATAATTGAACTTAAAAAGTAAAAATAAATATATATAAAAAATTTATATATATATGTGTATATATATATATATATATATATATATATATATATATATATATATATATATATATATATATATATATATATATATATATATATATATATATATATATATATTTATATCTGTACCTCGGAGGGATACAACACTATGTCCATTTTTACCACTTTACAGTTGAGGAGTTTTAAACATTTTTTCAACAAAAAGTGTTATTGGCACAGCTATTTATTGAGATGTTGAAACAATATTTTACCAGAACATTTTATTTATTGTTATTTATATCATGCAGTTGTTATAAAATTAAAAAAAAACCTTTTTTATGGTTTTTTTCACTTTTTAATGGACATGGTGTTGTATCCCTCTAATAAAGTTATTGTACTATAAGACCTAATGTGGGATATTCATTAACAAACACAATATTATTTGACTTACAAAATGTATTTAACTATTTTATTTATAATTCTTTTTACAAATACAAATAATACATCTATGTATTCAACTAAAATGGAATTTTAGATGTAAAAAAACACAGTCATTATCAGGTAAGTCTCCTTCAGGGTACTCACTAGTGGTATTACTAGTATGCTTTAAGTTTTTATAAAAGTCATAGCAAACTGTAGGAATTTATGGTAGTAATGCCAATAGATTATTATACTTTTGTTGTGATATTGGTATTGGACTTGGTGTTACCAGTTGCAAATCGTTTGGCAATGTAAGGTGTCGCCTTCGAAACCTAACAAGGTCAATCTCCTGGTTTTTATCAGCGAAATTACTTTTCAAAAACAGAGTTTCCATGCTGTTCTGTTTTACTTGCAGTTGAACACAGGTTGAACTTGTTTTTTGTTGACATCTTTTTTTCTATTAATAAAGGGTGGATTTTCACATGTTTTGACATCGTACAAAGACCTAAAATTTTTAAAATCTTCCAGTTCCATATTATGCACAGTATATTTCATTGAGGTCTGTCTGACTAACTGCTGCCAATACCACGGCGTTAGAATTGTCATGTTGTTAAGTTTTTTTTTCTTCCGCTCTATCAGTGCAAGGACAGTATCCGCCTCCATAAGAAATGAAAGTTTCTACTAAAGGCGTGTGGCCCTTAGTAAAAATCATCACTCAAAAGTAAAAACTTTTGAGTGATGATTTTTACTTGAGGATACTTATTGCGTATCCAAAAGAAACACATAATAAGGCTAATATTCTTATTCTGGCTGTAACAATTATCCGACCACAAAATGATTTCTTCAATGTCACTGTCAGGAATGACGGTATCTGCCCATTTCAGTAATGCAGATCCGATTTTTATTTCCGCCATGAGCTCCTTTGGATTCGTCCCACATAATACAATGGACTGACGAATCAGAAGAATCAAAAAGGGTGTTATTCAACGTCCAAAGTTTTCTCTTGTAAAAGCTTATGCAATTTGTTATAAGGGGTGACGGCAAACAT